GATGTTGTGGGCACCTTGAGAGCCTTGTGGGGCAAAGTTTTGGGAACCTTACCTTGCAAAAAAGTTGTGGGAACCTTGTAGGAACCTTGAAGCAAAATGGGCAAAGTTGTGGGAAGCTTCTGGGGACCTTGCAGCAAAGTTGTGGGAACCTTGCGCGAACCTTGGAGCAAAGCTGTGGGAACCTTGGGGCAACCTTGGAGCAAAGTTGTGGGCACCTTGGGTGCTTTGTTGGAAACTTGTGAAGCAACATTGTGGGAACCTTGGGGGAACCTTGTGGGGGAACCTTTGGGGGCGCCTTGCAACAAAGTTGTGGGAACCTTGGAGCAATCTTGCGGGAACCTTGGGAAACTTGTGGGGCAAAGTTGTGGAAACCTTGTGGGAACCTTGGAGCAAAGCTGTGGGAACCTTGGGGCAACCTTGGAGCAAATCTGTGGGAACCTTTGTCTGGGAACCTTGCAGCAAAGTTGTGGGAAGCTTGTGGGAACATTGGAGCAAAGCTGTGGGAACCTTGGGGCAACCTTGGAGCAAAGCTGTGGGAGCCTTGGAGCAAACTTGTGGGAACCTTGGGAACCTTGGGGGGGCCTGGCGGGAACCTTGTGGGGCAAAGTTGTGGGAACGTTGTGGAACAAAGTTGTGGGAACCTTGTGGGAACCTTGGAGCAAAGCTGTGGGAACCTTGCGAACCTGGCGGGCAGCTTGTGGGGCAAAGTTGTGGGAACCTTGTGGAACAAAGTTGTTGGAACCTTGTGGAACAAAACTGTGGGAACCTTGTGGGAACGTTGGAGCAAAGCTGTGGGAACCTTGGGGGAACCTTGTGGAACAAAGTTGTGGGAACTGCAGGAACCTTGCAGGAACCTTGCAGGAACCTTGGGAACCTTGTGGGAACCTGGCGGGAACCTTGGAACCTTGTGGGAACCTCGTGGGAACCTGGGGGAATGTCTTTGGGAGCTGCTCCGGCTTGCTCCGAAACCTTTACTATGGCTGAAGACCCCAAAGCATGCTGCTGTTGGGGAAAAAAGATCAAAAAAGTTACATATGCCAATGCGAGCGAATAGAAAAGGCAGCGTTGCTTAAAAAGCAGGGCCTTCTACCTTAGGTGACGTAACCGCCGGCGCTGCAACTTGCTCACCGCCTTAGGGGTCGTTTAGGGAAAATCTGCGGAGCACTTTTAAGTTGTTGTGTGCTTCTTTCGTGCACTGGTTCTTGGCTGGTGCATACAATGATTACCCCCAAAAAAACAACACACAAAGAACCTCCCAGCGCGAAACACTTGGCGCTTGCTTGCAAGCACAGCCTTCAGTTGGCGTCATCGGACTTCTGTCTGATGGCTGGTCTAGCCCACCTGCACGACACCAGGCGCAACGTACCGGGTACCTTTGTGGTGGATGGGCATTTGTGTTTAGGCGGGACACAAACGTTAGCCTTGTGAGGATGGAAAAGCAATGGAGCTCAAGAATTCAGTCCGCTGCTGGTCACATCTTGCTGTGGCCTTACTACCCAGGTCCTCTGAGTATGTCTGCGCACCAGTGGTGGCATAAATCCAAGTTCACAGCATCGTTCACAGCGCCAGCAGGGCCCAATGATGTCGCGCTGCTTTGGTTTGGGAATGATGTCGGGTTCAATTGCGTTGCTGTAGACGCTCGCACTTTGTCCAAGCGGTATTGATGCGCCAGTCACTTGGTTGGCACTGAATTCTGCCTCATAAAGACTTAACAGCCTTGGATTCTATCATGGCTCTTGATGGTTTGGTGTTCTGTCTTGCACACTTTCGGGGGTACACTCACAGCCTTCCGAACTCCCTGACATAGTCTGCAGGCCTTCGCGAGTTGTATCTGCGCGAGGTTCGGTGACTGATGCATCACCTTCACAGGCAGCTTGAAGCCAAACGTCATGAGCAAAACAAAAATATAGGTAGCGTGTGATCAATGCGGCAAGTGTTTGCAGTAGCAGGCGGCCACCTTGAAGTGATGGCTCTCCAGCCGCTTCGTCTGGACTTGGAACTCGGGTACCTGGCTCAGCCTCAGAAGGCAAGGCTCGGGGCTTCCGAACTTTGGTCAAGCTTTCCAAGGTGACACCCCCTCAGCAAGCAGTTGGTACGGATAACGTTGGGTCCATGTGTCAATGGCCACACGACGCCATAACTTCCAGCCATGTTCCCCTCAAAAGCACTGGCCAAGAAGCAACTTCACCCAGCCCAGCATCAAGTGCCTTGGCATGAAGGTGAGTCGAAAACCCAGTACTCCAGCGCAGCTTGGATGCAGATGCAGGAACCCTTGTTCAAAAAGACCTGTGATGCTGCTCAGATTCTGGAGAGGTTGGCTCAAGCTTGCCAATCGAGGTGGGATCAGTGGGCCCGTCGCTGCCTGGCCCGCTTGCAGCCGGTAAAATACACTGCGGTTGTTTGTAGGTGACAATGGAACATCAATGAAACACCCACACTCTGACATTGGTTTTCAGTTAGCTCAGTTCCCAAAGGTCGAGAAGGAAGGTGAGGGAAACGCAAGGTGAAAAGGTCAGCGCAACTGAAATGTTTAACAAATTGTTCACTTGTCTGCAGTTCACGAACGCGCGGCAGCTGAAAGCGGCGGAAGGAAAATGGTTTGTGGGAAGTATCATGAACCACCATGGAATCAAAAAAGGAGGATTGGAACAGCTTGCTCAACCGTTGAAGCAGGTACAGGTGGATGATCAGTCCACCCATCCCTCGATACACCAGAGCTTCGTTGCGTCAGGTAGGTGTATCGAGCCTGACGCCCCTGCTGAAAAAACTTCAAGCAAACGGTGAGGTGGAACCCTTAGGTACAGGGGTTGACACACACACACACACACTCCAGCCTTCTGTGGCGTGGTCCTCCAATCCATATTTCGGGGCTGTTTGACATATGAATTGCGATGAGATGCGCTTGTTTGAAAAATTCAAACATCAAGAAGTCCGTCCTTTTGGCCAGCTTCGGGACCTGTACTGTACGAAATGGCAAGACATGGGACGATGGACGATGATGGATGCACGGCAAAAGGTGGACCGTCTGAGCTGGGAATTGGTCTCCGCTCGGCTCGTGCCTTGGACACGAGCTCTGGTCAAAGCCTGTGGCGACCGACGTGAAGAAAGCCGAAACCACATCGTTTCCGACAGAGTTAACCCATTCTCAGCTGACCTCTGCATCAAGAACGCCCGGTTCCTCCGTGGCTGGTTCTTCTGAAGAGCTCGGAGCCAGCTCTTTGATCAGCTCCTCATACCACCGAGGGTGAAAGGAACACTGTGGCAAACTCACACTAGTGACTCTGGCAACCGTCACTGCTCCTTCTCCACAGTGTCAAACAGTCCAGTATCGCTCAGCGTTCTTGATGCCTGAGAGGCCTGAGAGCACGCTCTCGAGCGTGCTAGAGCGTGCTGAGCCGCTCAGCTTGGTTCTGGACTTTTGGAATGTCACTTGATGAGTGTTTTGAAAACATCTCAGCTCGGCCATGATCAGCCCCTGACCGCTGGAACCTTCCCATCATCAGCAGCAATCGCCTTGCGAGAAGCATTTGGAAGGAGCTCAGCTAGGACTGCCAGGTCAGTATGACCTCCAAAGACTCCATCATGTTCTCCTCGGACTGGGAGAAGCCTATGAGAACTTTGGCCTTCTTTCCTGACAGATCTAGTCTGGCAGCAGCCCAAGGATCAAGGAGCACAGCATGTGCCTGACTCGCCTTCTGCGGCTTGCTTACTTTCCGCCTCAGCGAGGTCATAGTACCAGCTAGCACAACACCCATCCCAAATCCCACGACCACGAGGATTCGTTATTCCAACCCACCAGCCTGTCCCACATCTGCCGGTGTAATGGCATCAGCAACAGCTGTTCCCTCCAAGACCTTCAAGAAAGGAGGCACCCCATCACACAAAAGGCTTGGAGGTCTGAAGTCCGCCTTCGCCCGTGCCTCATTCATGCCAAGAGCCTGCTTCAAGAAGCACGAAGCAGGTCTGCTGGAGGTTTGCAGGTTCCGCAAGTTCTGTTCACAAGTTGACCCCAGCCTGAAGATCTGCTGAAGCTGCTGAGAGTCCAAGATCGGTTTTGGACTCCTCACAACTGCCAAGGCTGCCAAGGCATACAAAGACTTGCATCGTTTCCCACTTGCTGGACCTACCAACAACAGGACTACTCAAGCAGGTTCTTCACAACGCTGAAGCCCTATCGGCCCTCCACTTGTTTCGAACACATCCTTGTCTTGTTCTGGCTGAGGTCTTGGTTGAGCTAATCGAGTCTTTGCTTAAGGTTTTTTCAAGCGCGTTCTCGGCCAAGGTGCTGCGGGGGTGATCATGCCGTCATCAATATTTAGATCAGCCTGCAAGAAAGCAGGCAGGACGACAAAGACAACATCTAAATCTTGGGTCTATCCTATTACCAGTAACAGTGGATGATGATGGTTAGTAAAGGCCTTGTTCAAAAATAGTTATGATTGTTTACCGACTGTTACAGGTAATAAGACAGACCCAATCTAAATCTAAATAAATGCCTGTAAAGCAGCAGAAGAAGAAAAGGCGGGTCACTTAGTTGAGCATGTCCAAACGTAACCCAAGCTATTTCAAGAGAAAAAGTGGAGCCTGCAGGAACTCGGCGCTGCCCATGAAGGTAAGGGCTTTGCGGAGCCCGTCCTGTGAGTCATCCTTGGTCCGTTCACATGCGTTGAAACACCCAGGCGCTGCAACACAGGGTTGGGGTTTGGAAGCCCTGGGGCTCAGGCCGCACCATCTTCAGGGCCCATCATGTCACCGATGTCCTGCACACACTGAAACACCTCCTCAGGAAACGGTCATACCGTCATACCAAAATAGAACCCATTCAACTTTCAACATAGTATTCCCGCATAGCGTCCAAAAGGGCAAGACTTGCAAGTTTGAAGGGGAGTGTGATGAGTTACCCGACCAAGTTGGCCATTTCGCAGGGCAAGGACCAAAAGAAGCACAGTTCCAAGCGGAACAAGCTGCGTCCAAGGATCCATGATAGCCGCTAGCTACTGCTAAATCTTCGCAGTACAGTACCGATATGTAAACCATAAACTCTCGCAGCGGCAGTGATACCGATGATACCTCATCCCCGACTGGTCATGCGTCTTCTGTTGGTCGTTGGCACTGAGCAAGCGAATGGAAAAAGACACCACCGGCATGGGGTGGTTTTGCATAAAAATAGGAAGACCTCCCAGTTTGATCCCCTGGAAGAAGAAAAATTGACCAAAAGCATCCAAAACCCATTGGTTGGGCGTCTCCCATTTACAATATACACACCCGCGTAGAACCTGCGTCATCTCAGCCATGATGTCGCCGAGCGCCTTTGTCCCTCGGCGATGTCGGCGACGTACCGTGATGGTCGGCCCACAGTAATGGATTCTCTCGTAGTAGCGATTGCCTCCAACCTACTGGCGATGGCCTACATCATGATGGATTCTCTCTCCCAGGACGGGCTTTGGCCTGTCTCCGGTTCTGACGGCTCGGTTTGGCTGCCAGCCTGCACCATGTCCGTGCATCAGCTAAGGCTGCTAAGGTCTAAAATCTCCAAATCTGTTGGATGCGTCTCTGGCATGTCTGGCCGGCTATTCTCACAAATTTGGACCCCACGCGCGCGCACAATGGACCATGCGCAAAACCACATCTGTGCCTCTGCTGCTTCTTTGGAGCCACCTCCTCTAGATTTCCGTCTGGGTTTCCGCCAAGTATGCCCAGATCTGTCTTTTTGGAGCATGCCTAGAATACGTAGGCGAACGGCTGAGTCACAGGCATCAAGGCAGGCAACATGCTAAAGCTAAAGCACATTCACCCAAGAATCCGGCATTCCTTTGGAGAATCAAGCAGCTCCTTAACAATGAAAATAGGAGCATGGATTCCATGGATACATTCATGAAATCCATGTGTGGACCTCATAAACTGAAAAGCTGCTCGCAGGAAGGCTCAAAATAGAAGAGTGACTATATACAGTAATGGCATGTTAGAAATGTCTTCTTGCCAAGGCTCATGGAACTGCACTAGTTTCTTCACCTCGTCAAGAGGCGGTGTGCAAAAAACATACCTCCTTTATTCCTGATTCAAGGGCCGAGTGGGCCAGCCATCAAAAGGCAAGGCACCGTCTTGTTGCAAATGAACGCCACCTTCACCTGGCAGGATTGGTCAAGACCGGTGTGGCTCGAAGGAAGTAGCAAACCAGGCTTCCCAACCTGCCGAGTCCTAGAGCACACGTCCCGGATCTGTACAGGTAGCACACGATGTTGGCTTGTTGACCACCAGTATGCCTAGGCTGACTCCCAAGCTGTGAGCTCCACAAACGAACGCGAAAACAGAACACAAAAAGCGACTGGCGAACACAGGTCGGTCACATCTGGTCGGCCGGGGTTGCGCAGTTTGCACGAAGACAAAAATGCCCGTTGTTGGGTTGAGATGGGCGACTACGCTGCCAGGGCGAACCCAGTCTGGAAGCTGCTGATAAAGCTCTTTGGCCTGCATTGGCCCAGCATGTCAGCCCACCAAAAAACGGCCCCGTGACAAGAGCTCTCTTTCTCCCTCCCTGCCTTTTGTTGGAAAGGATGCAGTAGCCAATCCTCCTGAAGCAAATGCACCCCGTGACTGCAAACGTCCAGGAGCATTTCGCTATGACACTCCAGTCAGTGTGGGCCTCTTTCTGCTGAAAGTGCTCGAAGGGCACCATCTTCCAACAACTAGTGTCCTTCACACTCACAAGCGTACAAATGCATCATGGGAGCTTTGAGTGCCAAAACAAAACAAAACGCAAAAGTTTGGGACCGCTGCGGCCTGCACGAACGTGACCTCGGATAAAAACTGAGTGTTTTGCAACGTGCAGACGACGACGAACCCGTCATTCCCATCACATGCCGAAGCCGGAGCCACTCCTTCACGTCGCGCCACTCCTTTGGAGCACGGCAGCAACTGCAGCCAGGCTGCTGTGACTTGTCGCGCGGAGTGGTCTACCGCATTGATGTTCACGTCGCAGAATTGCTTCTGAGAGTTCGACCACCACCTAAACGACCGGTGCCACGGCAAGCACCAACGACTCCTAAACCGAAGGCAGTCCTAGTCAAAGGACTTGTAGCCAGACGCGGCACCCCCGGTCTCCCCCAAACAGGTGAAATGTCCAAAAACCGTTGCATGAGATACAGCTCTTCACCTGCCTCGACCCAGTCACTTCGTTTCCATAAAGAAAGATACGGCAGTGATAGGTGTAGATGTGGCTAATGCATTGCAATACGCTTTTTCGACACCCTCATCGTTCTCACAAAGACCCACAAAGGCATTGGCATGCGTAGAGTTGCAAGCACTGGTAATATTATACATGTACATGTCGGCATGCAAAATGAGTAGCTTGTGCAGCGTTTACTACAGTATGCAGTATGCCCCAAATAAGGCTGTGTCTTCTACTGATGCGGGATCCTTTGCCCAGTTGAGTGGAACAGCATGTTGAGAAGCAATGGATGATAAATATGCAGTTCCATCTCTCTCCGTGTGTTTGTGCTCCCCACCCGAAATGTAACATGAACCAACAAACACCTTGCTGTCGCATGTGGCGTTGACTATTGCAGGTGACGTTTCTACCGGAAAACATCGTTCTGGTGATGGAGCACGGTCCTGACTAAGTTCAAGACCGTGCTTTCTCTCCCACCTGACACAAGTTTGTCCAAAACTCACTACTCCACCATCATCCTGATCAACATCAGCAAAATGTTGTACAACGTTGCTTCTAAAACCGACTAAAGCGCCTTGATCCACTCCGGCAAATCCTGCACAACCCAACATGCGAAGCATAGACTACCAAACACACAAAAAAGACTTGATGCTAGGAGCTGCACTTTGTTCGGAGCTTCACCTCAGAGAAAGGTCCAACTGTAAAATCCACAAATCCTATCTAAACGACTGTCTGAAAGTTGCATGGTTTCTGGGTCTAGTCTGTATATATAAAGTCTAGCACGGCGTTCACATGAAAGTTGTCGATTCATCCTTCTAATTGCCATGCTGGCATCTCCTGGCACACTGGAAACTCGTCACTCCTGGGGCTCAAACCAGGTTCGACGATCAAAACATTGCGTGGCAGCCATCCTTCAGCCCGTCCAGCCTGATGAAGCGAGACGAGAAGCAGGTGCCGTTGCCCAACACGTCAAATTGCTCTTGAACCCTAACAGCAAATGAGCGAGTCGCCTCCTCTAATCTGCACCATACCCAATCCGGATTTTCCTGAGTCAGGCATGGTGTCTTCTTCTTACCCTCATCCCAAACCAACTCCAATTTCTGCAACGGCATCAGCTAAGCTCCAAACCGCATCAACAATAAACACTCGTGCACCCTGACTGGCACTGAGCTCATGCTCACTGTTGCCAATGACCTTCCATGTGACCCGAAGCCAAGGACAATCAGAACAATTCAATACAAAATCATTGAAATACTTCCACATGAAAATCATTGCCTCAGTCGCGATGCTTGCGTACTTGCCAGTGGCATTCTGTGAAAGGCCGTGCTGAGACCTGGTGATCTCGTGTCACCGATATGGCGCTCCACAGTCGATACCGCTGAGCGTCGCACAAGGCTTCGGTGATTTGTTGAAGCTCAGAACTCAAGTACAAACCTTGGAGCGAAGTACTCAAGTCCTCTAAGTGCTATGAGAAGGGAACGCGTGCATGTATACGGGCAGGAGAGAGAGTCGTGAAAGTCCCGTTCGAGAACAGCAGATTTGCTGTTGCTTAGGCAGTAGGCAGGTGGTAAAGCAATATATAATTACTTCTTTTTTAAGCCCGGGGGCGTAGGCCGTGTAGAGGTGAGGTAGGTCAGAAAGGTAGGCAGCCAGTAGAAGCAAACCGTAGCTAGTAGATTAAGTACAGTAGCTGCTAAATATGGACGCAGGATAGCTCACGTTTCTTCAAGGAAGCTCCCCCCACCGCCCTAAAGGCAGCGGGGGGGGCTTCCTTGAAGAAGCGCTCGCACTATTCATTTGGTTCCTAGATATTTAGGGAAACTTAGTTGTTCTTGGTTTTGGGGGATGGGCATGTGCTACCGCTTGGCATGGGCCACATCGCTGGTTCCAAAATGATGTGCGCATTCTTTGCAGGCAAAATGTACTGTGGGCTTCCAGCACTTGCGCCAAAGCTGTGTGGATATGTCATTTTCAGTATAGACCTATCTATCTGCGTATCATGATTCATTCACCTCATTCAACTTGCGGCCAGCATACCTTCTAACTTCTCATTCTCTCATACTCGCACATTGGTACATACAATTTATGTATAAAACATTGGTTGGCAATTTAACTTTGGGACACTGGGATACCCAGAAAAGGACCCAACACGTGCTTCCGAGAAGCAGAATTGCATGCATTTCTCCATCCACTCCGGATCTGCGCTTCGGTCTTCTGGCTTGGCCTTCGAGAAAGCACATGAGCTTTCTAGGAATGACACAAAACCGACGCAGGGCCTGTTGGAGGTAGGTCTCCAGTTGCACAGCATAGGTGACCACCTAAGGGGCTCCGTCCACAGTAGCGTCCACAGAAGCAACAGTGGACAAGTGGTCGATGAGTACTTTGGGCTTCAGCTTCATCTCAGCCTTTTGGAGACCATCTCTGTGTCTATATGGGTGTATACATGTGTATTTTGATAGATGCATTTGTATGCACAAGGCAAAGGGACCCTCCACAGAAGCTGGCACCATTATGATGTGCAGGCCTCAGATTCTACAAGATCTGAGGACGCCTTCACGAAGGCGAAGCCCCTTTCGAAACCAAACCGTCATTCAAAAGAGAAAATGGAAGAGGCAACTTGGAAGTTGAGCGCATTCGCCCCATAGAAAGGTCATTTGAAGTCATAGGGCTGCTCAGAAGGCTCGCCCACCAAGGCTTCAAAACGAAGTTGGGATTGCGGATACGTTGCTGCAACAGCAACTGCTTTTTGAAGGGGCCCTTGGCTTGGCAAAAGGAACGGGGCCAACAAAGCGTTTGCAAAGCTTTCGTGGGGATTTGGGATCGGGATTTCCTACAGGAACGCGCTACAATTGTAATGCATACATTGTCCGCACCCAATCTTTTGTTCATGCCTCTTTCTCAGCGTTGCATTGACACTACGGTTTCAGCAAATGTGATTCTCACTTTTGAACCAAAAATCATTTCAGAACCATTTTAGATAACCAGCCGAGCCATGACTTCGAGTCCCAAACCTCCTCGAGTGCCTGAAGAACCAACCGCTGCCATTTCGACCTCAACTCCATCGAAGGTGTGGAATCGAAGGAAGCGAAACTCGGGTGTTCTGTGATTCTCTTGTTGTTTCCCCTCTAAGTCCAACTGGCCCAACTCGGCTCCCCCAAGCACTTTCAGCTTCCACGTTGACCTAATGACCTACGACCTAAGGCAGAGGCGCCAGCATGGCTTCAGAGCGGTTGTCTTCAAGGTAGGCGTCCGTGACCCAGCCTATCTGCCTGAGCGACTTGCTCACCGCGTGCGCCAATCGTGAGCGCCAATCATGCGGTGAAAACGGCGCCTTTCGACAGTTCCGGGTAACTGTGGGCCTCGGTTTGCCGAAAAATTACACCACCGTAGACCCCAAACAGATTGTGTTTTTCAAAATCGAAACAAGAGCTTGCGACTTCCAGAGCTGGGAGACAAATGTAAAGGATTGCAAGGCAGAGACGGACACAGCAGTACAGAGCGGGCGGACACGGCTTAAGAAAGAATTGAGAAACCCTAACAGTAAACCTTTTGGGGAATTATTCTTCAAGCGCGAACATGATGCCGGTCATGCAGCTCAGTCAGCGGGGAGCTGACCACGTGAGGACAAGAAACAAAAGCATGAGGAGCGAAGGATGTGACATGAAATTGATTTTTGGTGCCTGACGTATGCCCTCCGCCCCAACTGAACAGTGAGATCGCTGCCACGCCGCCGAAATCTAACCCGGTCATTCATCCAACGGTTGCCCGAAAAGGGAAACAAAGCTGAGAGAGTTACACAGTGTGGCAGGAATGCAATCCCGGAGACAGTCACGCACCCCTTGCAAAGGAGCAAGAACCTTTCACAGGCGAACCTGTTCCAGCGGACAGGGCAGAAAACACAAACCTGAAAGACAAAAAGAAAGAAATCACATGGGAGACAAATGAATAGAAATGCTACATGGCCAGCGGAAAAGGGCGGACACCAGCAGTGACAGACCTGGAAAACAAATGAATAGAAATGTTGCATCGCCAGCGGAAAAGGGCGGACACCAACAGTGACAGACCTGGGAGACTAATGAATAGAAATGCTGCATGGCCGACGAAAAGGGCGGGCGCCAGCAGTGACAGACCTGGGAGACAAATGAATAGAAATGCTACATGGCCAACGGAAAAGGGCGGACAGCAGCAGTAACGGACCTGGGAAACAAATGAATAGAAATGCTACATGGCACCAGCAGTGACGGACCTCGGAGACAAGAACCGGGCCACAAGCACCCAGCCTGAGAAGCAAATGAAAAGAAGTGGGAGACACATTCAAGGAAGTGGGAGACAAGCCGGCGTGGGAGACAAATGAAAAGAACTGGGAGATAAATAAAAGGAGGTGGGAGACAAGCCGGCCGGGAACCCGACCACAAGCACCCAGCCTGGGAGACAAATGAAAAGAAGTGGGAGACAAATGAAAAGAAGTGGGAGACAAATAAGAGGAAGTGGGAGACAAGCCGGCCGGCTTGTCTCCCACTTCCTTTCATTTGTCTCTCACTTCTTTTCATTTGTTTCCCAGGCTGGGTGCTTGTGGTCGGGTTCCCAGCTCGCTTGTCTCCCACTTCCTTTCAGTCGTCTCCAGGCTCAGTCTTGTGGTTGGGTTCCCGGCGGCTTGTCTCCCACTTCCTGTCACTTGTCTCCCACTTCTTTTCTGCTTGTGGTCGGGTTGACCCAGCCTGAGAGACAAATGAAAAGAAGTGGGAGACAAATGAAAGGAAGTGGAAAACAAGCCGGCCGGGAACCCGACCACAAGCAACCAGCCTGGGAGACAATGAAAACAAGTGGGAGACAAATGAAAAGAAGGAGACAAATGAAAGGAAGTGGCCTGGGAGACAAATGAAAAGAACTTGGAGACAAATGAAAGGAAGTGGGAGACAAATGAAAGGAAGTGGGAGACAAGACGGCCGGGAACCCGACCAGACCATCCAGCACCAAGGCGACCATTCTTTAAAGCATTGAGAACCCCTAACAGTAAACTGTTTGGGGAAAAAGCCACTGGGCTTCTCTTGGGATGTCCAACTGACGCGGGCTTCTCTTCCCAGTCTTTCGGCTGACCGTGCTGACCGTGGAGGGGAAAAAACGAAAGGGCATCACTCCGTTTACACTCTTTGTCACAGAAGTGGCAACTAGGCATCCAACCCGTCCACAAGCAGCACTGCGCCCAGCCACTATAGTGCCGGCTGATGACCTTTTTACGTCCCAAGTGTCAGACAAAGAAAGCTTTCGCGGGTGGAGTCGCTGGCTTCTCTTCATTATCTGCGCGCGTCATCCTGTGTTGGGGTGATACAACTGGGCATAAAATGTGCCCCACTAAACTCCAACGGCAGCAACTTTCAGCTTGACAGTTGCCCAAGTTGGCACAAATCAAGGTCCAACACCCATGACCTCACTCTGGGTGCGTGTGTGTACAATTGAAAGGTGCTGCAATCTCTTTCGGAGCCAGTCCTGTCAGGCCTATTTTTCGTGCAATTCCGGAGGCTGATGTGCCCTTTAAAGTGGCTTTCAACATCGGCCAGCACAAACTGCACGTATAGCATCTAGCTGTAGCTGAGAAGCGCTCTCTTGACTGACTTGCCTCCAAAGAATGCAAGTTTAGCTACCTGCCATTGGCCATTAACATTTGAAAAGCCCATTGGCTTTTTGCAGGAACTGGAATACTTCAGTCGCGATCTTGACCTGGGTCAAAGAATCACGGGTCAAGTACACCGACAAAATGGACAACAAAAGTCAACAATTACAGTACGACAATTTCATGCCACCCGCACTTCCGTGTTGCTCCCAGCTGCCTTCCCTCGCTGACAAGTAGCTTTATCGGGGTTCTTGTCTGGATGCCATTCTCGGAGTAACTTGCGATAAGCCTTGTGCTTTTCCTGTGCAGTGTGCTACACATCAACCAGGTTGTCTGTGACTTGCTCTGAACACATTGAGCCTTGCCATCCTTCATCTCCTTCAGGTCCTGCAAATGCCTCAAATCAAGTTGAGCTTTTGGATCCAGGCTATCCAACGGGCTCCCTGCACTTCGACTCATTGACATGGAAGTGGACAACCCCCATCGATAAAGGATATCATCTTCCCAGGAGCCATGCCATCCACTTCCATGCTCGTCAAGTCAGTCGAGGAGTGCAATTGGTACACGAACTGAGCATGAATGTAGGACTAGATTTGGCCAAGGTGCTGCATCGCAAGTTGCTTGGCTTCGGTAACATCATCTGGCCTCCGCTCAGGTCACGTTGGGCCACGCCCGACTGGCGTTTTTGCGCCGTCTGCATTCACTTTTTGGCATCTGTTCCACTGAAACACCAAGCCGAGATGCTTCTCAATGACGCTGCCCGATGAACTTCGACCGGAAGAGCTGCCTTAGCAGCCAAGCCACTAACCAGTATACATTTTGCAAAGGAAAGCTGCTGTTGAAACAAAATGACACAAGGAATGTGTGTGTCATATTGTGAATTGTGGCACTGCTGATCTGGGACATGTGAAACACTTACCCGGCTGGGACACGGCTTCGACTTCGACTCCGTCTACTTGGAGCTCGTCTTCGAGAAGGGCTCCGTCTGGGGCTTGGTGTTCGCCGCGCCCTTTCAATGGCTGCAGCGGCTTGACCCACACCCCTGGCGGAAAGGCCAAAGTCTCTTGGAAAACACAGAACAGAACAGGATTGAATATATAATCGAATAGGGTGCAGCAAGTGTTTTCATCCATCACAGCCTCTGGTGAGCACTCAGTGGCTTCACTTGGCCACACACAATGCACCGAGCTTTCATAGTCAAGTTCTTGCCCCCGCAGGGGCAAATCCAGCCCATCCAAGCGTTCTCTGCACTGTCCTGATGACAATGCAAATGAATAAGTCATTCTCGTGCTGCCACTTCAAGTCCAGTGGCTCTTTGTGCCATCTTCTCGGCAATCCTTGCCTGCCACGTGCAGTGAGCTCCAATATCAGCTCCTAGTAGCTTCTTGCTCCTAGTAGTAAGGCCAGGAGCCCCTAGTAGCGTCCTTGTTCCTAGTAGCGATGCCCTTTGCTCCTAGTAGCGTCCATGTGCTTGTTCTGTCTCTAATTTATGCAGCCCGCCTCCATCGAAGCTTTCTTGTCGGAACCTAGAATTGCAGCTTGGGGTGTATGTTGCATCATGTGCCTCATGCTATGGCTTCAGCCTTCTGCATTGCGGATTACGCAAACAGTGAGTTATGGACGATGTGAGCTGGTAAGAATGTCGGCCAGTACACTTCAAAAGGGTGAGGCAGCATACTTCGCAGCATGCAAACTTCATGCTCAGTCATACAATCACGGGGGTGGAGAAGGTCTTCAGGATGTTCAAGTGATAATTGGATTTATCGGATTGGTCCTTGTCCAGGTATATGTATACTAAGCTGAACCCATGTGAGGCAACTCCAGAGTATTGGCTTGGACGCGGCTCTTACTAAGTTAATAAATGCAATCTTGATTAACACAAACCATACACAGACTCATGCCCCACCAGTCTCACACTAAGCTGAAACACTAAGCTTCTGGGAAGGAACCACTTCCAGAGCTGGAACTTGAAGAGGAACTGGAGCTGGAGCTGATGACTTTCACCGAGGTTGCCATTGCCGACGGCTTTCCAGTGCATGGCAACGGTTCCACACACTGTTCCAGCGCAACGGTTCCAAAGGACAAATGTCACCTGAAGGTGGTCCAAATGGCCGCCTTCAGAAAATCTACACTCGAGCTGTGGGAGTCTTTGGGTTCAGTGGCCTTTCTTAGTGCATGCGTGGCCAACTCAAAGTCCTGACTTCGATACAAACTAACCAGATTGACTCGCTTGAGCCAATGGGCCGCAGCCAGCCTCTCACGTACATCCAAGTACCTCTCATCACCGCTGCACTAGATCCTGCAGCACGGACGCACCTCGACCATGTCCCCACTCTTGAGATTCAGCAAGCCTTGCAGTCTATCTATTACATGCACAAAAGGGTCAAGAGAAGTATATATCAACTCTCCAGCACATTGAAGCTCCCTCTCTGCTATCCCTGCCTTCAGACTCTCCCACTTCGTGATCTGCCAGGAATCGCGATATTACTCTCTCACATTCACAAACAGAGGACACAGGCTGATGGCGGCTCATGTGCACCTGTTTCACCAGCTATCAACAAATCTAAAAAACAAACACTTGACCCGGCCTGCAACAAGCCGAGCAAGCTCAGCAATGCGATCGGCTGGCAACCATCCAGGCGTCTTGTCACCAATACGCCGGCAGTAGGACCAGCCTAGGTGACTTGGTTCGTGTGTGGCAGCAGTGGTCTGCCGACGTATATACGTGCAAACAAAACATGACGTAACTCACAAACTTCACAATGATAAATAGCGACATCTGCATCCTGTTTCGATCGGATTCCAACCAACACACATGTGCAAAACGTATCCCAAAATGATATCTCTCCTAAGCAGGCCTCCCATCTCACGGATCAGGATTTCCTGGAGAGAGTGTCTGCCACAAGCCACATGAGCAGGAAGCCACATAACAAAAGTGTCTTCCGTGCAGCCGGGGGGCTATCTCCTGGCCTGCTTTTGCCTTGGGTTGGCATCAAGTCAACATGTCCGACAGCACGGGGCAGTTGATGAAAAACGCGCAACTTGGAGTAAAAACTGTAAAGTCAACGCTCTTTCTTTTCTGGCTCGAATGCAAGCGAGTCTGTTTGCGGCTTCCCTTCACTCCAACACTACATTGAGACCGCAAAGCGCCGCATGGGGAAATTGCTCTCCCTGGTCTTCGTTCGCGCCGTCTTTGCATACTTCTGCTCGGCCTTCAAGGCTTGACGAATCTTTCGGGTCTTCTTGGGGCGCAGGTCCAAGGGCATATATTTCTTGCCCTTGTACTGCTTACGGGCTTCGGCCTTCTGCTTCTGGTTGTACACCGTGAGGATCCGTGCGATGGCCTTGCGCACCGTCTTGATCTTGGCCAGCTTGGAGGCAGCTCCCCCCGAGACCTTGGCCACGCGGAGCTGCGCCAACTCGCTCTTCATTTCATCCAGCTCCTTGAGGAGCTCCTTGGAGGTCTTGTTCCGCAGCTCATAGGCCTTCACTTTCATGGCGCACTTTCCTCCGGTTTGCCGTGATCCGCAAACTTGAGCCTGTATCCTGCAAGATGAAACAATAAGTTTGACAAAATCCATGTGTTGGTCTGTTTCAAGGTCAAACGAGTGCAGGTTGCAAATTTGACCATGCACACAGGTGTCCAGGACTCTTGAGCTCCATGCTTCAAAGAGGGGAACGTCGTCGGACGTGGATTCAGGTTCATACCCAACCTTGGACTTCTTCTCTCATGTGCAGTTTAGCTTCTTGTCAGCTTGGAAGCGGTGCATCTATGTGCAGCCCAGGAGCTGTTACGATGCCATTCACTCTAACTGGCTGCTCTTCCAGTAGGCCAATCCTCAAAGGCCAACATTTGACACCCGGCAACTGCTAGAATCAACAACAGTTGCTATCACAGCTATGGCATAGCAACAACATTAACATGCGACAACATTCACAGCACGATCCGAGCTGCTTTGAGTTCTCGATGTCGGCGACTTGCAGCTGAAGCTGCGCATTGTAGTCCTGCACCGAAGGTGAATTGCAGGGCAATCGCCGGGGATGGGGATGGGTCGGTCCTCTGCCTTTGTCCGAATCTCTACCTTAGTCGTTGCATTTTCTGGAACTGAAACAACCTGCGACCGGACCTGAGAAAAAAGAAAAACAACATCCAGAACATCACACGACCCTGCATCATTGCAAACTAGCTGCAATGCGTTGGGTGATTGCTTGGATGAGTTCCTTTGTTTCCTCATCATCCTCCTGCGGCTCCTGCGGCTCGATTTCAGCTCCCCGACGTTGGAATGCGGTTCGAACACATGAAGCCCATGATGGATCCCGCAGGTCTCCTTTTGGGTCTCCTTCTGACCTTCTTCAGGAGGCGGCTTTTTGCTTGCAAAGCAGCCCATGGCAAGAGTCACGAGCGAAAAAAATTAAGGAGGTGTTTTCGGCTGGGACTGTTCAACTTGGACGGGTCAGTGAGGCTTAAGATTCTAAAGGAAACAAAACACGGGGTTCGCAACCTTTCTCCGGTCCGTTAGGAAAGTTGAGGGAACGTCTGATCCAGCGATAACGAGTCGACGCATCTGATTTAGTCCACAGTTCACGAGCGGTGTAGGCCACCGGCACAATCGCCTCAAATCGAACTTCACACCGCTTCGCACCGCTTCGCTGCAAGGAAGTATCGATCTGGTCCCAGTTTTAGGATCTAGAAGGTCTGCTAAGAACACCGGAACTAAGAACTAGGAGCAAGGACGCTACTAGTGGCTCCTGGCCTTACTACTAGGATCAAGGACGCTACTAGGGGCTCCTGACCTTACTACTAGGAGCAAGGACGCTACTAGGGGCTCCTGGCAGGAGCAAGGACGCTACTAGGGGCTCCTGGCATCGCTACTTGGAGCAAGGACGCTACTAGGAACAAAAGAAAAAACACGACCGCAAGTGCCATGTCGTGTGCTCTGTGGTGTGCCCTATCGTCCCTTGCTGCCCTGTCGGGTGCTCAGAACTTCTAAGGCTCCCCGCTGCTCATAGGCAGTCAGCACCTGGCAGTTTGGCCCAGGGCGCTTCGCGACCACAGGGCTTGGGCCAGTGCTGCGGCATTCTTTGCCATCACAAATTGACAAGCACATCGCTTCACCACATCACTGGGACAGGACAGAGCCAAAGAGCCAATGTGATAGCATTTTTTTCAGACCGCACAGTTGGTTCGCAGTGTATTCTGGAAGGTCTAGGAACAAGCTCGATCAGACCTCTGACCTCTGGAAGGTCTAGCCGCAGATGAATGTCCTGTCAGCTCTTCCCAAGATTAGTGTATCGCTAGCGGCCACAATCCTCTGGCAGATTCCAATGCTGCGCCCTTCACAATGCTAGCTGCTACCCCCTTTCTATCTGCTGTCTTCTCGACCTTCAGGGAGCTGCTTTGCGTGTTCCACTTGCACGAGCTGCTAACTTCTTGGGATCTTATATATTTCACTGCTGCTTTGCACTTTGATCCTCCAGTACGATACGTGCTACGCGACGTTGAGCACAATGCAGCCCCCTGAGTCCAAAAAGGAACGATACGTTGATACGCCTTGACCGACGCATCTCTGACTCTCGAGATGTGAACTCTTGCATGGAATAGACTCGGGAACTCTCAAATACAATAGCACGGTTCTGGCGGTATGGCACAGAAACATGCTCTCCATCCAGCTGCTGAACCAAGTCCTCAAGCATCCGTTTGTCATTTATCGAGTTGTCCATTTCGACTGAGGCATCGTACACAGTCAAGCCTCCATTGGAGTCCTTTAGGTCTGCAGAACCTGGCGTAATCCAAAGGTTCACCGTCACAGCAGCTTGATCTGCCTGTAAGCGGATTGAAGCCGGCAGTTCCTGATTGAATTTGATGGCTCTGAGGTCTGTAAGCGGCAGATCACACAGCACATCACCAAGAAGTTCCCTCAATCCCTCTGCAATCTGTGCCAAGAGTGGTGTCGAAAATCCTGTGTTCAGTGCTGCGCCCAGAGAGTTGTCACGCTCTTGGTACCAAACAGTGGAAAGCTCTGCGAAATCCCGAAGCTCAGTCAAGGCGGTATGTGTCAAAATATCGTCAATGACAAGAACACCGCCAGTGCTCAGGACCCCCCCTGCGCGGGTTTGTGCTCTTCTAGAAGGGCTGTGCAAAAGCTGCATGGTCATTTCCACAGCAGGTTTCAGTGCTTGCTCCAAACGTGGACATGGATGGACATGAAGCCGTCGGTTGTAAAAAGGGAAAAGGCCATGCCATTGATCAACGGTGGGTTGTAGAACGCCTTCTCTGGCTCGTGGAGCTGAACGTAAGGTGCGATTACAGGCCTCAATCGCTTGCAAAGCAACCCCTGACGCTAGGAAGTCCATGCCATGCAGGAGCTTCAAGAGTTCAATGTCATGGACCAGCCGATGTTCCAAAATCAAGCCGGAAGGGGCGCTTCCACTACCAATCTGCACGGAAGGGATGAAAGCATGCGGTGACATGCCTGCTGCCAACAGCTCTGGCTCTATCTCGCTCAGAAAGGCTTTTGGCCTCTGGAATCGAATGGCTGCATAGGTCTCCCAAACATCACAAGTGATCGCATAGAAGGCTGGCTCCGGAGGCGTGACATGGGCCCAGGTACCATCCGCAGTTCTATGCAATGTGTGGCCATCATCTCCAGGTTGAGGCAGTGCATCACCGAGCACCGCTGCAGCTGCAAGCTCCCTCAAGAGAAAATTGCTTTCAGGAAATTTGGCAATAGCTGCTGCAAAGTGTAGACGAGCTTCCGCTATAGCTCTGTGTGAGAGGAGTAGATACCAACCAAAGCTTATGTGCTTCATGACCTGCCCTCCGATGCTTAGGTTTTTGAAGTGCATCAGTTCGCCCTCAAGCCCGTCCTGCAGAGCTTCTGGTCTGAACATACACACTTTCACGACAAGGTTTAAGGCGTTGGGCTAAAGCCAGTTGGTGTCCTTTATTGCGTGGACATCCGATTCTGAGCAGCCTGCAGGCAGTTCCATGAGTTTCGACCATGAAAAGAAGGTGTATACTGTCTAACATTGTATAACATCTCCAAGTTGTGACTGCCAACGGGCAAGAGCACAATGCCTGCCCCAGTGGCATTTAAATGAAGACATCCCGCGGCAGCCAAAGATTCTGGTGTATCACCATCCCGCAAAACCATCCTGGCAGAACGGCTTGCTCTTCACTGACGCAAAAAGGGAACCAATTCACCGTGATTGGAGCTCCTTGTTGAGGTATTGTCCTGCCAAGGTCCAACATTCACAAATGGCTTCACGTGGCGGAGGCCGAGGCCGCCTTCACCATGTTGGTGGCGACCAACACCGGCGGCCTGATGTTCACCACCAGTTCTGCGACACATCCTGGAAGGATCATACCCAGTGGCACCAGTGGGGCATGGCATCACTGGTTCTGCGATGCCCAGCCTCCAAGGCAACAGCATGTCAAGCTTCTCCAGAAGTGAAAGCTGCGAGATCCCTGCGCCACCTCAGAGCTATTGTTGCCAAACACTGAGGAGGGAGAGAGAGAGAGAGAGGTTTTTGTGCAGAACTTCCCAATGAAGACGAGCATCTCCGACCATTGAGGAGGCGCAGTGGCAAAGTGGCCACTCTTTCACATATTGTTTTCACAACCTTCTACCACTGCCACGAGCCGGTGACACTGCAAAGCCATAGTGACATAGTGCAAAAACAGTGCTACCGAGCAATACAGACTCGGTAATGAAATGCGATGTGCCCTATCACGCTCAAAGTCTCAAAGTAGAAAAACGGCGTTCACCCTTTTGCAGCAAGGGTGAGACTCGTACAAGCACTGTCAGGCAGCAAAAGGCCTGCACTTGGTCCACCAGCACTGTGCAAGGAAATGCTTTGCCCAAACAAGTAATCCAGCCTGTGGAATGATCTGTCATTGGCAGGTGAAAACCTTGCCCCACCCACCAACTAGCATCATAACGACTGATGTCCACTGCTGCCAAGATGCAAGGCTTCCAACACACCACAAGATAGGAAAAGAAAGCTGCCAGTTTCCCAGCGCTGCACTCACAGCAGTCCTTAGCCCACGAGAATGCTACAAATTTGTACAAATTTCACCGACTTTCAATGGGTTCAAGTCCAACAACACCAGTGCCGTCCCTTTGAAAGAAATGTCCGCTGAGCTCCGCTGAGCTCCGCTGAGCTCCGCTCGCCTGCTGCTGTGTATTGTTCGGTGATGTTGAAACCTGTGGCTCGCGGACATTGGAAGAACCTACCTACCAATGCAGAAGTGCCCACCTCCGGTGCAGGTGGTGGCGACGTCTCGTACTGGCCATGGCGTGAAGCAAAGCAGAACAATCCGAGTCTCAACACTGACAGCTTTGGGGGCCCCATCCCAGTCATGGCACGTCAAGTTCAAAGGACCGGCACCAGATAGGTCCGACGACCTAGCTCTACATACCCGAAAACTAACACATTCACCAGCACTAGCTTCTTCCGAACTGAGTCCACCAAGTCCACCGGCCGCACACGGAGCATCTCCCGATGACGCACCAGGTATCTTCGCACGTGGCTTGAAGTCACATGACATCAAAAACCAGAGCTCCAAAAAATAATCGTTCTCCGTGGCATTCCTTCGAACGGAACAAGGGTCGCAAGTGAGAGAATCTGCCCAACGCATCGCGACAGAAAGCTCACACAAACGCTCTTGTCGGAGACCTCGGAAACCTTCGGCCGACCAGGTCGGAAGAGCAAACCGCCTGAGAAACCCAAGACCTGCCGACCTGCCCTGTACTAAAGAGCCGTGGAGCAGCACGATCATGTCACTAGTGATAGTAGGGGTAGGGTCGTAGTCTTAAGGTTGGAACATTACCGGAACATTCTAGTCTTCAGAAGATTTTGGCAGCAAAGTAAAGAAGAAGACCCGATTATAAGGCCGTGCAATAACACCCGAAAATGTTGCGCAGCTCATGCCGTGCCTGCCATGCTGGTCGATCATAGACCGTCCACTGGCCTGTCAACTGTCTTCCATCACCTTGCAGACCTTCTTGTGCAACAAACTATATATATATATATGTATTATATATATATATAACTATAATCGCCTAAGGCCTAAGATTTCAAGAAGCCGGGACTCTGACACCCATATTGGTCAGATCTGGAAGGGCAAGTACCTAAAGTGAGTGGCCCAAAACAGCCCTGGCAGTCAAGCACTGCTGAGACTCGCACTCCAAGTTCTGCAGTAGCTCCGCGAGGTATCCTTGAGGTATCTGCGTGGTGAGGCCAAAAGTGTGAACAAAAGCAGGCAAAATAACAAAGAGAAGTCGATCTCTTTGTTCTCATGCTTCAGGGCAGCACGAAGTCGAAACCCTGGGCAGAAAGCACAGTTGACACCTTTCCGGACAACTTTGCCCGCAGGACCTCTGAACATTGCCAAGTAAACTAAGCCTTAAGCTCTGCAACCGGTGTCCTGACATCATAGAATGAACTTAGCGGTTCGCACGACTTCCGTGCTGCGACCCCCACAAAGATTGCCGCTGCGTAGATTTCTGATTGCCATAACTCAGCATTGGCACACAATATCAACATATCATATATCAACTAACTGTTCGTTCCGTAACCGCAGCCTTGAAGAGGACTTGTCGACGTGACCCAGCTACCAAAAAGCGAAAGAGAGGGAGAGGGAGGGAGAGAAAGAGAAAGAAAGCAAGGAAGAAAGGCGGCAATTCGCTCCACTAACAGACTGGGACCCGGAAAAGGGCCAAGGGGCAACGGCTTGAGGAAAATTTGGCGCAAAGAAAGTATAAAAACATAAAAGAAGCGAGCATAAAAAAAGGTAGAGAGAGAGAGAGTGAGCAAGAGAAGAAAAATGAAATGCAAATGAGACAACAAATGCAAAAGATGTGAAACATGGAAATGAAGCAGGTTCCACAACAAGAGAGCAGCCGTCTACGCGCTGCAAGCTCTCCTGCGTGCACAGCATCTCGCATGCCAAAAGGCCCAGTTGCAAGACCTGTGGCGCAATTCAAGTACGCTTGCCCTGTCTCTCAGAGACTCACATGCTGAGGCCATGTCTTGGCGGACTTGCCCTGACACGACTTCACAGAGCGTGCCTGATCGGGTCTGGTGCTGCAGGTCTTCTGACGCAAAATGATTTGAAGACCAGCACTCAAACTGAAATAGGAATCGCACATTCGGTGGCTTCATACGTGCTCTCAACTTGTGGGGAGAATATGTCTCGACCTGGCCAAGACGTTGGCGATTGCTACACCTTCAGCCCTTTCACATCATCACCGTGGCACAAGCTTGCTTGCATCTGCCACACGCTCCGTTTCACGGCCCCCCCCACGAACACAGGCACAGTGCTGTGCTGCCCCCCTAAAGCTGAAAGCTGCACTGTAAGCATCAGCTAAGCTACAGCCTGCTATTGCAGGCAAATTGTTGCACTCGCCATCGCGCCACAGTACTGTACGAAAAGCAGGTTAGCCGTCAGGAACAACTGACGCCGGTCATTTTAGGCTCATCTGCTCCTTCTCACAGGCATTAGCCCAAAGGAAATGTCCTCTCAACCCTCCAGAGGAGCTGCGGCCTGGCTGACACAAACTCTGATGGCATTGCTGTGCCAAGGTCTGTCACAGAAAAGCGCCTCATTGAGCTGCTTGAACTCCGCAATCAGGCTGCGAACCTGAAGCCGGACATGATGCAGCTTCAAAGCTGCACCAGGAGCACAGCCCATGGTGCCCATGGCCTGCACTAGCCTCTCCTCTGCCATCGCCAGGGCGGATTTGCTTTTGTTCAATTTTGGAGCCAGCGTCTTCTCCGCTTTCTTTTCATGATTCAATGAGGCCTCCTACACGCACAGGTGTCATGCAACAATTTCAGGTGGCTAGTAAAGTTAGTAAAATAGCAATTCAGTTGCTCGTTTTTGGAATGGTGTCCTCAAATGTCGCAAAGTTTCAGGACTGGCAACTTCATTCCTCACCCGTCCTTCTCTTTCACCGCTGCATCTGCTGCTAGGAACTCAGCCTGATTTCGGAGGCAAATACACAAACACACCAAAACTGTTGCACAAATGTGGAGGTTACATAGGGGATTAACCAAACACTCACCTGTCGTTGTTCCTCTTGTTGACATGCGCCCTGTTGAGCACTGACTGCATCAACCAGAACTTGCGCCCGTCCGGCCGCCTGAACGTTGGCATGTGAACGAGGTTCATTGGGGATACTGGATGTGTAGGAGTAGCATCTTTTGCGTGCACATGCCGTGACATACCTACATCTGAAAATTGCTGCTCTTGGAGGCCATAGGGCTATTCTAATGGGCCACTGTGTGGAATTCCCGGTCCTCTGCTTCAAAGCCACTCAGCTTTTCTGCAAGTTTTGCAATGGTCTTGTGCAAAAGGTCCTGCACAGTGCCGGAAGCAACAATTTTGAATGGGGGTAAAGTCACACGATTTATATATGCAAAGCGAACATCTGGCCTCTGCATAAACAATGGCCTGCGAATAAATGCAAACAGCGAGCTATACTTGCATGAGTCCACGCGAAAAGAATTGACACCACAGAAAAGCAACCATACGCGGATGCGAGGGCTTTTCAAAGCTGTCCCAATTCAAGCAGACCACCAGCCTTCTCTGCAAAGCTGCCACGCTCCGATGGTTTGGTCTTGAATGCCACTGGCAATGCGCTCTCAAGGGCGGCATCCAGCCCAACAGGCTCCAACATCTTCAGCGAAAAAGCAATGAGTTTCGCCCGCTCACGCCATTTCTTGCCGTCGATCGTTCCAGCCTAAAGATATCACAGAGGCACTTGAACACTGATGGACACCGATGGACTTCATTTGACTTTCAACATTAAGAGCCTTTTCGGCACATGTATCCAGCCTTGAGCACAGCCCAATCTCCTTCGAGGAGTGATTCGTACTCAGCCTTCTCCGCCACCATGGCGGAGCGCTCAGTCTCAATGCTTTCAACTTTATTTTTGGCGGTAGCAACCGCGGCATGAGCCGACGCCACCTCCTTCCGTGCAGCATTCAGAGCTTCTTCTTTTTGGGTCCGAACCGCACGCGCTGCGGTCACCTCCTCGGTTTCAGTTGCTACCGCTTTCTGGGCTACTTCCAGCTGTTCTTGAATCTCCGTCAGGCTAGCCTGGGCCCTTTCAACACCTTCTACATGCTCCATATCGACTTTGGTCACAACCTTAGTTCAGGATGTCTGCTCGCATCAATAGGACACTGGCTGGGTCATTCTTGCTTTGTGCCCTCTGTACGATCCTTGCCCCTTGTAGGTTTATGCTAGTTCTAGATTCTAGCTCTTTGGTTCCTGCCTATGACATGGACTGCACAGTTCTTGTGCTCGCTTTACTCAGGCCTCCACCCCGTCAAGCATCTCCTTGAACTTTACTTGGAACTCATGAGTTGGGTTGCCCACACAATGTGGAGCCATGCTCACCAGCATTGACTTTGACGTGTCTCCCAGCTGAGCCTTGTCAACCAGTTGGAAGAGGGGCTCAAGCCTCTCCTTCGGGTCAGTCTTCGTAACTTTGGCTTTTGGAGAGGTCTTTGTGTCTGCAGACCTTTTCGCCATGAGCCCGAAAGAATCTTCGCAACTGTTTTGAGCCCTTAAGCTGAGAAGAGAGTCACCACACAGCTACCAGCTGCCTTTGTTGCGGGCTGAATTTGTACAATGGTTTCATTCCAAACAGGCTGAACATGGGTCACGGCATCGTCACCAGAACGGCTCACACTGACGGAACCCAGCCGTCAACTGGCCAAAGTCACCCACCCGAACGCAGCTGGTTGCAAACACCTGCCAAGGGCGACAAACGATCCAAAAAGGCCTCCCCGACCCATACATTCCAGTACATTGCTGTTTAATGTTAGAGTAGTACATCCAGAGAGGACCCCCGTAGGACCGGCATGAGCAACTCCTTGCTGACGTAAGTTGCGCTCCGCTTTTGGTCCGGCCCAGCCTCAAGGCGGACAGCAGTCCCAGTGCAGCTCTCCTCCTCGACGCCAACGCCCTGAACCAAATGAGCAAAGCAGCAAAGCAATATGTATATGTGTATTAGACATACATACATACATACATGCATGCATGCATGCATACATACATACATACATACATTATATTACATTACATTACATTACATTAATACATACATACATACATACATACATACACTGAAGGAACAGCTTCATGAAGATGAACCACCAGTTGCCACGGTGATGAGGGACTTGGGCATAGACCACCAAGCAGGTCGAAGACGACGAATTCCAGTGCTGAAACAACGTTTCAGGAAAGCCCAGCAGCGCAAAATCAAGTTGCGCAACCTGAAGATCCCAGCCTTGAAATTCGCCTGCGACTGCATCGAGGTGGCATTCAACCAGTAGCCATGTGGGGAATTGAAGGACAAGGATTGGCTCCAAGGTACAGAACAGCCACTTGCAAAGTAACTGGGCCACCAGCAGGGGGGACTACTTGATAGCACCTATGACCTCCATAGCAACCGCTATCTTGACCCGGCTGATCAGGTGATCATACACCACATAAGAGCACTCCACCAGCTTGTGCTATCTCGAGCAAGCATGGAGCCACACCCATCAGCAGCTACAGGCCAAAGCCCACCCATGGTACATCGTCAAAGGACCCATGGCCGCAGCCATGGCCTGTCTCCTAGAATGGCAGTGGCAAGTTCAGGAACTGTTTCAATGGACCAGACCAGAAACACCATACCTTGGTGCCAACACCTGGAAACTGGAACAGGCATTGCTCATGGAAGCCAAAGACCAAAGAACAAGCAGACTTGCGTCCAGACCCAACCATCAGCACCTGCTGACAGGGCTTGACTGGCACACCTACAGAACCGTCAGCAAGCAGCTGCCCGCCAGACAGCGCCAACATCTGGCCACATGGGTACAAGGTGCAGTTCAACACCGTGAAGCCAGCAAACCCAAGGCATGTCCAGTATGTCAGGTCCCGGCCACTCCAAAACACATCATCTGGATGTGTAAAACAAAACCAGTGCGCTCCTGGCTGGCCTAGCTGCACTGGCCAAACACACCACCACCCAGGTTCGAGTCATCGTTCAACTCACCAGGGTCTGGGAAGCATGGACACAACAGCACCACAGGCAGGCATACGCAGACTTGTTTGAGCATCTCACAGAACAAGATCTGCAACGAGCCACAGTTCTTTATGTGAGCAGGAACACAAGCTCACCAGAAGCACCAGGCAGTGAACCACAATTGAGGCGAAGGCAACGTGATGCTGCCATTGTGGCTTGGGAAAGGGCCAATGGGCTGCATGATAAAAGAGCCAGTGAATGGCAGGCCACACTTGACAAGGAGCATGCACTCATTTACAAGCGTGCAGCTGAACGACTTGCCAAGATCTATGGGGACAAGACGCACTATATACATACCAAGGCACCAAGACATCAAGGCAAACACACCAAACAGCAAAAGAAGGACCCCATCCACCAATGCAAAAAGCCATGGACCAACTCTCATCATCGATGGGAGCCGCACCGAAGTGGCTATCAATGCATGGCATGTGGAACCCGCACGCACCAAGGACTCACAGCCAGTGTACTTGAGGAGCGCCTGCGTGAAGAGTGGTTACAGGTACAGATTGAGGACCTCCGTACGGCACCCTCCAGCCAGGCTGAACCACTGCCCAAGAAAGTCACCAGGGCCCAACACATCCGGAACATCCTGGCCCAACAACAAGCCCACCCGCCAGGACCACAAGAACATCAGCTTGCAGAGACAACTGGCTATCTTAAATGCCTCAAGTGTGGCCTCAACGTCCACAAAAGAACCAATGAGGCGGCCTTCAGCGCTTTCATCAAAAGCCCATGTGTGGACCAGGCCTTCGAGACACCACGCGCAGGCCATCCCTCTCACACACTATGGCAGAAAGGGGCCAAAATCAGCTGTCTGCAGTGTGGGATCCAATGGCACCTCGACAGCCAACAAAGGATCATCACCACGCAAGCCTTGGGCAAACAGTGCAAAGGCGCTGGACAGAAAGGAACTCCACCCATCAGTGAGTTCTTCAAAAAGCACGAAACAAGCAAGCGCCCTGAACAACTAGACAGCACAAGCCCAGAGCAAACTCATGACAGCTAGGCCAACGCCCAGGAGGCTCCACTTTCCTACGGCTCTTGATGAAAGCTATGGTGAAGAGTCAACCAACCACCAAGGTGACCAGACCATGGTAAAGTCGGACACTGGGAGCACGGAGAAACCATCGCCAACGGCAGAAGAGGATGAAGCAGGCATGACTGTGGACTTCTTCTAGTCCAGAGCTGAACTACCACAGGAAGAAGGCCAACTGAACGGCGGCACACGCTCCAGCTGAGGCACCATGCCTAGAGAACCGGCCAAAGGCCCTCGCACCCAACAACAAGTAAAAAATACATACATACATACATACATACATACATACATACATACATCCTGATGCAGTCTCGGCACAAATGCTCAGGAGTGTACCACCACTGGCATTGACACCATTGGTGCAGCTCTTTCAAGCTATGGAACAGACGGCAGAACTACCCACACAGTTGCAGATGCATATGGTCGTAATGCTGCCCAAGAACCAAAAGCTGGAAAGGCCAATCACGCTCACCTCCACATTGTGGCGTGTATGGCGCCCCCTACGAAAGCCGCTCCTTGATGAATGCCAAAGGCACTTGCCAACCAACATGAACCACGACAAAGCCAGGCCGGGAGCCAATGTGCTTCATGTTGCTCTTGAGCGCCTCCTTCGACAGGAAGTCACCAAGGCGAGAAAGCAACATGGCATTACAGTGTTAATGGATATGTCAACCTTCTATGACACCATCAACCTCACCAGACTCCAGGAGGAAGCACTCAAACTCCAATACCCTCCGCTCATGCTGGAGTTGGCCATGCAGCTGTACACTGGGCCCAAAGCCATCTTGGCCGAGCAAGAGCTGACACCTTTCTTTCACGTAGACCACGGAGTCCCGGCAGGATGTCCACAAGCACCACTACTGGCCAAAGCTGTCTTGGAAAGAACAGCGCCCACAGGCCAATCTGTCAAGTTGGGTTGATGATGTTGGCTTCGACCTCACAGGCACCACAGCTTTGCAAGTGGCTCAGCAAGCAGTTAAGGCCTATCGAGAGCTCCACCAACGCCTCACGGGCCTTGGGCTGAAAGTCAACCCCAAGAAAACAGCCTTCATAGCTACAGACAAGCAGACTGAGCAGGCTCTCAAAGGTCTATTACAAGAACATGAACCACCGGTCTCAACGGTGGTGCGAGATCTTGGCATCGACCATCAAGCTGCCAGAAGACGCAGGATCCCGGTTCTACGTCAAAGGTTTCAGAAGGCAAGGCAGCGGAAATTGAAGCTTAGAAATTGAAGATCCCGGCTTTGAAAGTCAGGCTCCGCCTACACAAAGGAGGCGTCCAACCGGTAGCACTCTGGGGCATTGAAGCTCAAGGACTGGCCCCACGATACCGCACGGCCCTCAGACAAGCACTTGCTACCCACCTTGGACATCATGCAGGCGGCTTGCTTGACAGCACTTATGACTTGCACAGCAACAAATACATTGACCCTGGCGATCAAGTCATTTTGCATCACATCAAAGCACTGCATCAGCTTTACCACACGTGGCGGCCCGAACAAATCCACCACCTCGAGCAAGCCTGGGTTGAGGTACATGACCAGCTCCAGCAGTTCGAGGACCCATGGCCGCAGCCATAGCCTACCTGATGGAGTGGCAATGGCAAGTCAATCAGCTCCACCGATGGCATCGACCTGCAGGCAGGTTTCTAGTTGAGACCGAGATCAGCATTCAAGATTCATGGTGGAAGCTAGAGCGAGCACTGATTCATGAAGCGACGGCTCAGCGCCTAGACTGGCACACCTACAAACAGGTGATTCGCACCATCCCTGGGGAACACAAGCCGCACCTACGCACCTGGACCCAGGGAGCGATCCACTTCAAAGAAGCTGGCAAACCCAAACTTTGCCCCATTTGCAAAGTTCCGGCAACAACAAAGCACATACTATGGATGCGCAAGTGGCACCAGACCCAGCAACACAAGCCTATGCCCACTGAATGGGCGGAGCGCATTCTGACTGACGACGAAACCCCTCTATGGACGGCTGGTTGGATAACTTTGGAGCCACAAGAACACAAGCAAATCCAACATGCGTACCATGGACACGGAGCCTGGAGGGACCTGACACCACTTGCACCCCATCAATACCAAGGGTGGGCATTCACCCTCGATGCCACACCCTCCAGCTATACGAGCCCCTTAGTTCGCCAAGCTCTTCCCAACTGTGCTGCGATTTGTTCACAGTATTTCAGCCTTGCTCGTCGTACCGGGGAGTCCATCAACAACTTCCTCGTTCGGGAGGCCTGGTGCAATTGTGGAGGCATTGATTCGCCTTCATGAAGACAAGCTTGGACTTCAAGAAGCTGACCGTGACTTTGGTCTCCCGCCGAGCCCGAGTACACCGCTGAGCAATGGGAAGCATGGTGGAATGGCCAAGAGGCCAATGAGGAGGAAGAAGAAGAACTTATTGTCGGTGAGCCTTC